GGAAGACAGAAATTCATTGGTAGGGAGGTTTGTGCTGAGCCCATTGTCTGAGATGGATAATACAATGGTGAAATTTGAAGTGATGATGCAGTGCCCCTCTATTAGGCTGGGGGATCCATTAAGGCGGTCAGTTCCCAAAGACTTATGGTATCTGATGGATTCCTGAATACTCTCAGGAATTTTCAAGTTGGCATGCTCACCACTTCTGTCAAAGTCTTGATATAGAATTGGGAATTAAGGTAGGCACTTGACAGGTTGGCTCTTAAGTGTCATCCTCAACACTGAAGCAAACAGGGCTCTCTCATATTCTCAGGAGTGTCAGGTGATGAAGTAGGACAGTGCCTGGAAGGGACTCAGCAGCTTGCAAGGCAACATCTCTCTCGAAGGCCTGTGGTTTTTATCTGCCTTTTAGTAGATTTGAAGCGGTTTTAATGAGTTTTAATTGGTTTTAACTCTTCTTCAAGTGATTCATGAAGTGACTAGGGAAGATCAGAAACCTATGGGGTTTTTTTTGTTTTTTGGTTCTATTTGCCTTTTACTTCCCATGGATATTTGTTTTTAATGTCTCTGTGATCCTTTGATGTCAAAGCATGTCAACCTGGAACTTTTTTGCTCCTGATCAAACAACCAGCTGCCTGCAGTAAAATCGGCATGGCAGAATTTAATTTCAGTGATCAAAAAGATGGTATTGGAGATCTCAGAAAATGCCTGGAGAACAAGTGACTGGTCAAGTTTATTGGAGTAGACTTGATTTCTGAGGATGATTACTTAAGATTTGGTATTCAAACCCAGAAGGTGTTAATGAAATCCTCATTTGCTGTAGAATTAAAGAGACAAGTGCCAATGGAAGAGCTTTTACTTATGCACTAGGATTCAATATTGTAACAGAACGTGTTATGAAGGTTATGTATTACACAACATACATATTTTACCTGGCTTGGAGAGAAGCTACCATCAAAGGGAGCAAACGCACTTGTCACAATTTCTATCTTTACTCTGTGTCCCAATATATTATTGTGCCATAGGAATGCTATTGTAGGTGTGACTCCATATTTCATGTTTGATTACAGATGACCACAACTTCCAAGCCACTGGCTCACCAAGCCGCCTCTCTTTTTCACAGTGCTTGGTCTCTTCATACAGATGGCACACCTATCACAGTTTCTTGAAACCACCATGTAAAGAGATGTTTCTCAATACAGCTGGAAATTAGTCTACAAAAAAGTGCACCAGATAGGCCCAACACAAGAGACAGAAGATGCCTTGTTCACGTCTCTGCAAGGGAGTGGGAAGGCAGAAATCCATTAGGGAAGATCAGAAACGTGTGGGGTTTCTTGTTTTTTGGTTCTGTTTGCCTTTTCACATGGATATTTGTTTTTGATGTGTCCGTGACTGCATCACATTATTTCTCCCCTGTTGAAAAACATGCTTAATGCAGGAAAAATACTACTTCTCTGTTACAAGGAATGCCTCTCCTCTCGAAAAGAGAGTAAAACAGACCATCATATGTGTATGCAAACATTGCTCTGACAACTGACAAATGCATGCTGGACTTCCTTCGCCTCCACCTGACAATACTGAACATGTACTGAATACCAGAGACCCTTTGATGTCAAAGCATGTCAACCTGGAACGTTTTTGCTCCAGATCAAGCAATGCATACTGCAGGGGCAACTCCTGAAGAAGCTTTTCAACCAGCTGCCTGCAGTAAAATCAGCATGGCAGGATTTAAAATCAGCATGGCAGGATGGGAGATAGCTACCTTTACTCTGTGACCCAATATGTTATTGGGCCATATGAATGCTATTGTAGGTGTGACTCCATATTTCATGTTTGATTACAAATGGCCACAACTTCCAAGCAGCCGGTGCCCTAAGCCTTTTTCACAATGCTTAGTTTCTTCATACAGATGGCACACCTTTCACAGTTTCTTGATATCACCACATACGGCTGGAAATTAGACATCGAAAAAGTGCAGCAGACAGGATTTCAGGTGCTTCTCCAGAGAGGTGACTGAATTAAAGGCAATTTAGGTTTACCAGGAATATAAGTAAAAACTTTTGTTCATAGAATCCTAAAGTTTAGAGTTCAGAGGGGACCCAGGGGTCATCTAGTTAACCCCTTGCAATGCAGGAATCTCAACAAACATCCCTGGTTAGTTTTGTAAAAGTTCTAATGTTCTTAATGTTCTAATGTTCTTAAGTATGCTTAAATGTTCTAATGTTCTTAAGTATGCTTAAGTATGTAGGCGCAAACAGCTTGAGGCAGCCTTACCTGCGACTGCAGACTCATCCGAAAGACTGTGAAGCTCCTTTTAACACCAGTGCTACTCCTCCCTAGCAGTGCTTTTCCTGTTGTGAAGAGCCTCCACTTCAGGCCTCCCCCAGAATACCCCATTGGGGCGACTTCTGCTGGGTGGTGCTGAGGAACCAGAGGCACTTGGCCCACCCATAGAAAAGTAAGCTCTTTGCTGCTTGGGTGCTGCTGGCCTCATTGGCATGAATGTAACCAAGCGGTCAAGATAGGGCACTCCTGGCCATGTCAACCATCTGTATAATGGTGCTAATACTCTGAGGATCTTGAAGGAAGATAAGGTGGATATCTGCAACTAGGAAATGTCCCTCCAGCAGATACTCCAGCCCCAAGAACGGGCAGGGCGGGTTCATTTGTGATCCAAATCTCTCCCTTAGTAAGTACCATTTATTTATTTATTACCGTTTATTTACATTTGTTTGTTTGTTTGTTTGTTAGATTTGTTAGTTGCTTTATCTTGCCCAAAGCAAGCCTAAGCGACTTACATTGGCCCAATGTGCATAAACATTCATGCCAAACTATTGGCATGAAAGAAACCGCTAGCCCAGGTTCAGATAACATGACAAATTGGACTTTCAATACCTGCTGCATGCTATTGCCCTATAATTTGTTTTTATGGTTTAATGTGATATACAAACCAAGCTATTAATTTCTGTGCCCTCAAGAAAAAATGAGGCTTTTAAACCTCCTACACATTTACCTGGGAGTAAGCTTCCTTTTGCACAGGAGGACTTGCTCCTGAGTAGGGCTGGGTGGTGTTGGGTTTTGAACATCGAGGTTTGGTGATAAACCCACTTTGACACCTTCTCAGCTGGGAAGGGGGAGCACCTTAATGGAGCCCCCACCCCGCTGCTGGCTCAGCTCCTGCAATCAGTGGTGGGTTGGGGGCTGTGTAAAACTGCTTGGGTGAGGTGAAGGCAACAGTCTCAGCCAAGGAGTTTAAAGAGGCAGAGGAAGGAGCAACTGTTTCACCTATGCAGCTTGTTTCTCCCTTGGCCAGTATGAGAGCAGACAATGAGGTTTCACTCATCCTTCTGAGTCCCTCTGCCTCCAGCACCCGGCTGCAGCTTGTTTCTCCCTTGGCGCTGGTAGCAGAGGGACTCAGAATGTGGCGGTTTCACCAGCAATATACCGCTGAGTGAAACTGTCATCATAGTCTGCCCCTCATACCGGACCCGGGCGATGTATTGGTACATTGCCTAGGCTTACATGTGAGTAAATAGCAGAAGTCAGCACTGTGAATGTGTAAGGCCATGGCACCCTGGTGTGACTTGAAGATGTCCCAGAAAAACTAAGAGACATATTGTAGTGGCAACTGTTGCAGGAAACACCCCCCCCCCCAAATCATTCAGTTTGTACAAACTCCACACACACTCACACTCACACACTACATACGCTATGCTTCTGTTATAAATTCATAGAAAAGCAACCATACATCGGATTTGCACTGTTCCACTTTTATTTTACTCCATGAAGGAAGGACTACAAAATGGGGAAGGTTTGATACAGGCCACCATAATCCCTTAAGCATACCAGCACATACACAGGAGCCCTGCCCAGTTGCTATGCCAACCCTGATGGTCCTAGACAGAAGACCATCAAGATCACAAAGAACTTGATATGGGAGTGGATTCAACACAGACTGGAACAAAGGACAATAATCAGCTCTTCCCTCTGGGGGCAGGAAACTGCAAACAACACTCTGTCACCTGGAAAGTGCTCATGGGGAGGGGGAAAGGGGGAACCAGCCAGGTGACAGGACACTCAGGTTACCACCACAACCCCTCCCTCAACCCCTCCTTTCTGTGATGTATGTATGATGTTTCTGGGGGTGGTCTTGATCTACAGGGTGGCAATTTCAAAAGCCTTTATAAGACCTTGCACACCATTTTTCTGGGTCCTTCCTCTCTCCTGCAAGTGAGGGGAGCACCCTGTTGCAACAGTTCAATAAAGGCCAAGCCTACAGGCTGCTGTTTTGCTCCAAGTTATCCTGGTTGGTGTCTTTGTTTTTGTCCAAGGGAGCCCTCGGATTTTTCCGTTAACACAACCACATGTTTAAGGTCCCATTTGGCTCTGAGTTTTTATATCTGGGTTTCTAATCTTGCCCTAGTGGGGGGGGGTGTCGGTTTGTTCTCTCTCTCTCTCTCTCTCCAGTAAAAAACTGAAGGAGAAAACGGTCTAAAATTGGGAGTATATGGCCATGGGGAAACTTGGGGGATGGTTGGAATCCAGACTCCATTGCTGAATTCACTCACTCATGGAATTAGCAACCTGGCAAAAAGTCATTTTTGGAAATAAAAATGGATAACTAGCAGAAAATGCCTTTTCCAAATATAAAAGAATTGTCACTGTTTTAATGGAGCTGATTTATAGGTATTACTCTTTCAAGTGTAACATTATTTCATGTTTCAGTTAAACACCCACCCTCCCATTACACACTTTGATTCTGACTCTAGCGGTGTAAGTCCGCAAAAAGGGGCATTCTGGGAGTCTTGCAGGATAGGGCAAGAAAGGACTTGCACCTCTTCGAAAACTTCTGCATAGACAGGAGGTGCTGAGCTACTGAACTAGCAATCTTTCCAAATAAGTCATATACAATCCAGTACAATTCTCTGTATGTTTATTTGGTTTTAATTACATAGTTATTAAATTTCCCTATTACAGAACTATGGTTTGTTTTATATGGACTAGTTAGCTTTGTCACCCTTATCAAATCGTTCTGAAAGAGCTCTTAATATACTTCCTGGCATTTTCTGGTGTCTATCCCGAAGATTTTCAAATGCAGTCTTGGTCTGTTGAAAAAACAAAAACAAAGGAATACATTATGTTATAGCTAAAGGAATAGGAAAAAGCTAAAGGAGTCAGACCCAGTAGCATTTTAAAAATCCCACTTTTTCCAGCTAAAGAAGCACAATATGGAATTTATTTCTGGGATCAGAAGTAAAGGCAGATAAGGATTTTTAGCTAATTGTAGTAGGAAACCATCTCTCCAGATCCTAAGGCATATGCAGCTGGCTCCCTAGCAAAGGATAGGGAGGAAATTACTGTCTTCTTGCATATTGAACCTTGAGCATGAACCCATAATGCTCACCCAGACCCTACTTTGCAGTGTTCAGCCAAAATGCATGTACCAGGCCTAAGAGGAACTATGTAAGTCCTACCAGGCATACTGTCTTGGCAGGTCCCTAAAGGGCACCCTTAACACAATAATGCCTCGGTAAAGCTAATCTTTCTCTCCACAACTTTCTCATCTGTACAGATTTAACGCGGTAGGAGCAAACAAACCACACCACTGTCAATTGACAATGACTGCATCCCAACAATGTGAAATAAAAGGAAGGAACCACAGGACAACCAAAGAATCAACCCCCACACACCTGCAAAAATAAATTACTTCTCCGCCCCTTCAAACAAGCAACCAAAAGCCGGAACTAGATGTGGGGAAGGTGAGGGTGAAGCAAGAATGGAAGCAGAAAGTTCTTGGGGGAGATGAGAGCAACCATGAATATTAAGGGTCTGGAAAGGAAACCTTATGAGCCACAGTGAAAGAAGCTGGGTATTTTCAGCCTGAAAAAGAGGGGACTGAGAAGAGTTATGACAGTCATTTCAAATATCTTAAGGGTTGTCACATGGAAGATGGAGTAAGCTTATTTTCTCCTGCTCTGCAGGGTAGGACGCAAACGAATGCCTTATAATCATCATTATCATCATCATTTTTTAAATTTATACTCCACCCATCTGAAAGGGTTTCCAGGGCCACTCTTCAAGTTGCAAGAAAAGAAATTCCACCTCAACATCAGGAAGAGCTTTCTGACAGTGAGAGCTGTTTTGACAGTTCAACAGTCTCCCCTGAGAGGTTGTGAAAGTGTTTAATAATAATAACAATAATAATAATTTATTTGTATCCTGCCAACCCTGGCCAAAGCTGGGCTCAGAGCGGCTCACATCATATAAGACAATATGCATAAAACCAAGTGATCAATAAATTAAGATACATCCCACATTTAATTCAAACAAATTAAAATTAAAACTGGACAAGTGGCAATCTTCAGGGTAGATTTGAAAGCGGTTACCAACTGCTTCCACTGATATTATAAGCACTTTTGAGCGGGCTGGGAACCTCCTTCATGCTCCCCCCCCCCCAAGATCTTTATTGAAACGTAACATATACACATAATAACCAAAATTCCCAATGATTCCCTCACATAAAATATAATATCTAAATTACAACAGCTGCATAATTATACACTTAATTATAAAACCCACTACCCACCCTCTACTTCCCTCCACAGCAATTCCACTTCTTTATATTTTTTTCTACCTTTTTTCCCTTGCATTGTATAATAAATTATTTTTGTTAAATTCTGATTTTTCCTTCTTTCTTTATTGGTATTGTTATTGCTTACATTTTTTATTCTAAGCCTATTAGCATGTCATTTTTAGAACAATATTTTGACATATAATCTTCAAAATACTTCCACTCCATTCTTAACTTTTGATTTGAATGATATCTTATAATTGAAGTTAATTTTGCCAATTCTATATACTCACTTAATTTACAAATCCACTCTTCCTTTGTTGGTGTGTCCTGAGATTTCCATTTAGTGGCAATCACTACCCTGGCAGCTGTTGCTGCATAGAATTTATTTTTTTTCATATGTGGTATGTCTTTGCCCACCAACCCTAACAGATAAGCTTCAGGATTTTTTATCAAGGGTTTTTTAAGCATTTCCTTAAGTTCCTCATGTATTAGTCCCCAAAACTTCTTTATTTCCTTGCAACCTCACCACATATGAATTATCGTTCCAGGTTCTTTGTTACATTTCCAACAAAGGTTGGATTTTAATTATAAATTAAATACCACCTGTAAAACATTTAAACAAAATTTTCCTTTATCGTATAAAGGCCAGTCTTGAAAGACTCTAGGGTTGTGCACTCATCTCACTCTATAGGCCAGGAGCCAGCGCTGTCCGCAGACACTTCTGGGTCACGTGGCCAGCGTGACAAGCTGCATCTGGCGAGCCAGCGCAGCACACGGAACGCCATTTACCTTCCCGCTAGTAAGCGGTCCCTATTTATCTACTTGCACCCGGGGGTGCTTTCGAACTGCTAGGTTGGCAGGCGCTGGGACCGAGCGATGGGAGCGCACCCCGCCGCGGGGATTCGAACCGCCGACCTTTCGATCGGCAAGTCCTAGGCGCTGAGGTTTTACCCACAGCGCCACCCGCGTCCCCTTTATCGTATAGCAGGTGGTAAAGCGGATATTCTCGCACCAGAGTTTCTCCCATTGTTCTAAATATATAGTGTGGCCGATATCTTTTGCCCATTTGGCCATTGTTTCTTTTACCTCTTCATCCATCAAATCATAGTCCAATAATAGAGTGTAAATTTTCAATAATAATTTCCTATTGTTTTGTAATATAATGGTGCTAAATAGCAATTGTTCTTTGGTGAAACCTTTTCTTTGATCTGCCTTAAACACACTTTTTAATTGTATATATTGCCAATTATCCATCCCATATTGTTTTAATTCTTCATATGTTTTTAATTTTAACTTTCCTTGGTCTTCTTCCAGTATTTGTCTATATGTTGCCCAGTTCGGATTCATATTGAGTTTTTTAACTGCATGGGCTTCTAATGGAGATATCCATAAAGGGACTTGTGGCTCTAATAGCTGATTATATTTATTCCAAACTTTCAACAATAAATTTCTGAGTATATGATTTTTGAAGCCATTATGTACCTTAACCTTCTTGTACGCTAGGTAGGCGTGCCATCCATACCTATTGTCAAAACCTTCTAGATTTATAATACTAGTGTTTTCCAATATAATCCATTCTTTTAGCCACGCCAGACATTCTGCTTCATAGTATAATTTTAAATTCGGTAATGCCAGTCCTCCTCTATCCCTTTTATCTGTTAATAGTTTATACTTTATGCGTGGTTTTTCGGTTTGCCATATGAATTTTGTTAGATATTTTCTCCATTCATCAAAACAATTTTCTTTAATTATTATTGGTATTGTTTGGAACATATATATCATTTTGGGTAAATCATTCATCTTAATTATAGATATTCTCCCCATTAATGTCAGCTTTAATCTACTCCAGGTTTCTAGATCTCTTCTAATTTCCTTCCAGGCTTTTTCATAATTGTTTCCAAATAGATTAATATTTTTCATCAGCAATTCTATACCTAAATGTTTTGCTTTTGTTTTGTAACAATTTCCAAACCTAATTTCTTCTGTAATTTGTTCTTTTCTAATTCCTGTATGTTTTTTACCATAAGTTTTGTTTTTGACATATTTATCTTGAAGCCTGCTACTTTCCCGAACTCATTCATTATCCTCAATGCTTTCATTAAACTGCTCTCTGACTCCTCAGTTGTTAATATAATATCATCCGCAAAAGTTCTAATTTTGAAAACATCCTTGCCTAATGTAATTCCCTTTATCTCTTTTTCTTTATTTTTCATGCTTGTTCTTATACAAGGAGAAAATGAGTCAGACGGAACCCTGACCAAAGGCCTGGCAGAACAGCTCCATCTTGCAGGCCCTGCAGAAAGATGTCAAATCCCGCAGGGCCCTAGTCACTCGTGAGAGAGCGTTCCACAAGGCCGGGGCCACAGCCAAAAACGCCCTGGCTCTGGTCGAGGCCAGTCTGATCTCCCTGGCACCCAGAATCTTTAGGATGTTGTTATTTGCAGACCGCAAGGTCCTCCGTGGGGCATACCAAGAGAGGCGGTCCCGTCGGTACGAGGTTAAGCAGAGGCTGGATGGCCATCTGTCATGGATGCTTTAGCTGATATTCCTTCATTGCAGAGGAGTAGACTAGATGACCCTTGGGTCCCTTTCAACTCTAAGATTCTATGATCCTATATCTAAAAATGTGTTGGGGGTTCAAAGTTCAAAGTTGGTAGCTCAGAGGGCATTTAATTAGTCTCAACAAGTTAAGCAGAGGAAAAGCTGAGTGATCAATATAATGCACAAAAATATATATAATAAAGCCTAGTTCTGGGTCATACAGAATGAGAAGCCAGTATGCAGAATACAATTTAGAACTGAGAAAGTGAAAAAACAATAGGAAAGATTATTCTGTTTTATATTTCCTGGTACTTACTTTTTCAGCCAGCTCTGTGGCAGTTATGTTTGGATCATATGGGATGGGTTCTCCAATATATGTCCTCAATTTCACTGGAAACCCTCCATATACAGGAAGGAGTAAAAATCGAGTTTTCTCATATACCCATCTTGCCAACCCTGTGTATGAAAGGGAAAAGATTCTGAAAGAATGCGACCCCATATCAAATGGATGAGACAAAGAAGCTTTGACTTGGCCAACAAACTCGGCAGGATGTTAACCTGGTTAATAAAGAAAAGGCAAAAAGATAAAATTATAGGTAAAATAATAGATCAAAGGGAAGAGATAGTAGACCCAGAAAAAATAAAACAGTGCTTTGTAAATTATTATTAAAAAAAACTGTACAAATCAGAAGATAAATATGAGAATAAAATAAATGATTATCTATAACAAAACAAATTACTGGTAATATTAGAAGAGGAACATAGATATTTAAATTCAACTATCAAAATAGAAGAAATACTACAAGTAATGAAAAACAAACAAAAGTTGGGGAATCTCCGGGCCCAGATGGAATTTCAATTGGTTACTATAAAAAAAAAAAAACTAGAAGAGGCCATACTTCCAACCCTGAAAAAGATTATGAGCAATATATTAGAGAATGGGAAGACACCGGAGTCATGGAAAGAAGCCTTAAAACCTTGATCCCGAAACAAGGAGCAGATCTGATGAATACCAAAAACTATAGACCAATTTCATTACTAAATTTGGATTACAAAATTTTTAGAGGAATACTTGCAAAAAGATTTAAAAAGATATTAAATAGACTAATTAACGAAGACCGGGCTGGCTTCCTCCCAGGAAGACAAATATATACGGTAACAATACAAGAACAATTATCAATTTATTAGAATATTTGGGGGTAGGTGGAAATAAAAGATCAGCAATGATGTTAGTGGACGCTGAAAATGCATTTGATCATGTATCATTGGATTTCTTGTTGAACACCATTGATGCAAAGAAATTAGGAAATAAAATATATTGCAGAATCAAGGCAATATATAATAATCAGAAAGCAAAATTAATCATAAATAATGAACTAACGAAAACATTTAACATTGAATAAGGGATTAGACAAGGCTGTCCATTCTCACCACTTTTATTTATCACCATATTAGAAACATTAGTAACAGCTATAAGGAAAAAAACAAAAATAAAAGGTATTTATTGGGCAACAGATTGTATAAACTCAAAGCCTTTGCAGATTACATCATCATAACCACCGAGAACCCAATAGAGAGCATATTAGAAACACTGACAAAAATGGATGAATTCAGGAAAGTCTCAGCTTTAAACTAAACAAAGACAAAACAAAATTATTCGTGAAAAACATGTGTGAAGAAGAAAAAAGAGGATTGTAAACTAAAACAGGATTAAAAATAACAAATAAGCTGAAATACCTAGGCATCGGGATCACAACAAAAAACATAAACCTTTTCAATTACAATTATGTAAAAAAATTGAAAGAAATAAAAAAAGATTTGGAGATTTGGGGGAGGTTAAATCTGTCACTGTGGGGCAGGATGTCAATAATTAAAATGACAGTGCTACCAAAGATGTCATTCCTATTCCAAACATTACCAATAATCAGTGGAGTTAAATGTTTTAAAGAGTGGCAAAAATATCTGGCAAAATTCATTTGGCAGGGTAAAAAACCTGGAATAAAATTACTAACAGAGATTAGAGACAGAGGTGGATTTGCAGTTCCAGAAGTAAAAGAAGTGATACTAAAGTGGGTGCAAGATCTGGGTTATCCTATAGAATTATAAAAATGGGAAGAGCTGTGGGGAAAGAATCTAAGATTCACAGCGTGTTACTTAATTAAAGAAAAGTTTATGAAAATGCAATTTAGATGGTATTTAACCCCTTCAAAATTAGCCAATATGACTAAAAATTATGATAATAAATGTTGGAGATGCAAATTATATGAGGGAACCTTTTTCCATATGTGCCCAGGAATCAAAAAATATGGGACACGACCTATGAGGAATTAACAAAAATATTAAAATTTATATTACAAAAACCCCCGGAAGCATTCTTACTAGGAATCTTAACAAATAACATTCCAAAAGAAAGCAAGAGAATATTCCTCTACACAGTGACTGCATCTAGACTGCTAGTAGCTCAGTATTGGAAGAGTGAATTTATCCCATCGAGAGAGGAATGGCAGTTAAAACTCTGCGAGTACTTGGAACTCACGAAAATGACGGAATCAATAAGAAACAAATCAGCAGACAAAGTCAAAAAAGAATGGGAATGTTTCAACAATTATTTAATGAAACAAGGTTATACTAATAAGACTTGGTTGTGTCTTGAATAACTCCGCAAATAGTGACATACTGTTTCCTCATACCAAGATGAGGATAAAATATTAAATACAAGGGGAAAGTAAGCTAATTCGAATTGAAATCATAATGAGGCAGAAGGAAGCCAACATCAATAACAAATAAGTAAAGAGATTCAACCCATACTGAAGGTCACTATATATAAGAAATACTATTATAGGGTTGAATTATAGCAAATAGAATTTTTTAAAGAAAGAGGTCTTAAGGCAGTCTAAGTTATTATTTCGATAGAGTTTAACTTTGCTTAATTTTTGTTCGTTTATTTTTCTTTTCTTTTTTATATCCTTTTCTATTCTATGTACGTTGATATGTATGCTTTCCCCTTCTTCCCTTTTCTTTTTTCTTTTTTTTCCAGGCAGGTTATTAAAGTATTTATTTGTTAACTATAGTTACAGGTAGGTAGCCGTGTTGATCTGCTGTAGTCGAAACAGCTGTCTGAAGAAGTGTGCATGCACACGAAAGCTCATACCAATAATTAACTTAGTTGGTCTCTAAGGTGCTACTGGAAGGAATTTTTAATTTTTTTGTATTTGTTAACAATGTATTTATAAATGTTTTTTTGGGGGGGGGTTCTATAAAAATATTCTGAAAGAATGCGACCCCATATCAAATTTGAAATTAGTTGGCATTTTGAGAGTACTTAGGAAATAGATATTCATTTTTTAAAAAACACCATTGTATATTATTAAAATGTATTTTGCCTGAAATTAGATATCTTGATCAACCAAGGAACATAATAAATTTAACTCACTTATCTTTCCAAAGGTCCTGAATGCTTCAGAATCATTTTGTGCAAATATAGGGATGATGGGCTAAAAGAATAAAATAGGAAATAAACAATAACAGAAAGGTGAGACCTGGTTAATTACTTCACCCCAACCATTCCACCTTAATTTTTGTTAAAGACTAGAAGGAATGATTCACACCCGGCATTATAATGACAAGACAGGTGTGATTGGCTTCAGAATTCCTGACAGATCTATTCAAATATCTCAGATGAAAAAAATTCACAAGCTGTCCCCCAGATTTTGAGGAATTGAAGAGAGTAAGAAGAAAAAAGTTGTTTTTCTTATTAAACATTGATTTCAGTAGCTTTTTTAAAAAGCAGGAGTGGGGAATCCATGACTCTCCAGATATCATTTCACTCCATCCTCGGCTATGGAGGATGCTAGATCAAGGATGTCAACACAGTATGTCATATACAGGATAATTGTGAGGACAATGCAAATTGCCCAAAGATCACTCACCACTTTTGCCTCCAAAGCTAGCCGAGCGAAACCTGTGTGGTTACCCCACATTAAGCTGTAGTCAGTACTAAAATTTGCTTCTCTAGCTCCACCAGGGGCAACGCCCAGTAAATGGCCTTTCTTCAGAATTTCCACACATTCAGCTTTATTGAAATCTCTCAATAAGAGCACATCACAAAACATCTTTGGCCCTAGAAGAAAGCCCCAAATAGAAAAATGCATTTTATATAGCTCTCATTTAGGAAATAGTGTGGATACTATACAAGTATCTTCATTCCAAAGATTACTGATCAACTAGGATTTCATGGAAGGGGGCTTTATGCTAGTTCCCCTTTTGCTCACATGTTCTGGCTCATAGTGAGGCTGAGTGCTGAGGTGACCACCTTTTGGAGAAGTGTTCCTCAAGTCAAGTCTCTAGTACAATAGGTTGATATTCAAGTTTGCATCAAGATAAAAATACAGCCCAGGCATCACCAAACTCGGCCCTCCAGCAGTTTTGGGACTACAACTCCCAGTGGTCAGTTTTGATGGGAGTTGTAGTCCCAAAACTGCTGGAGGGCCGAGTTTGGGGGTGCCTGATACAGCCCATAGTGCCTTGCCGGACAATCTTCAATCTCTATATGCTGCTTGGGTTTTGGATACGGTGGGGATTCACACATAAACAGATACAGAGAGAGAGAGAACAGAGAGGAACCCATGCTGGTGGAAACCTGTCTCCACCAGCAGAAGCCCATCTTTTCATCCAGACAGGAGGTTAGATGCTCCATTAATTTACCCAATGGAATGCCCCTCTCTGTGCTACTGGGCCTGTTTGGGCTCTGACCTCACTTCTTTTGCTTTATTTTTAAAATTGACCTATGTGTGGTGTCATAGTTTCCTGGTGTGGCTGCTGTGTGCATGCAGAGGAAGATGATGTGGGGGGTTTGGCAGTGGAGGTTGCATGAACACTGTGTGGAAAGGATGCCACAAGTGTTTGCTTGCAGTGTCACGTGGGGGCATAAAAACTGTCTGTGAGAGTGCTTGATTGACCATGTGTTTGAGGGATCCATGTTTCCTTGGATCACTGCACATTGCTTAATAGGTTGGAGTTGCTATGAAAGCCATGGGCATGTATGTGTGCTTATGCCCTTTTCCTTATCTGTAGCTCCCACCCCATCCCAGTTGTCACTAAGTGTGTATGAATACAGTGAATTTTTCACAGGAAGCTTGCTAGTGAACATACTATCATGTAGTTTCCCATACTTTGCACTGTTCTTCCCAATAAGACACACCCATCTTTATTAATGACTGATTTTTGAGCCCAACAGGACCAGACTGAATCTGCCCTAACAGCCCAAGACCTAGCTGACCTACTGTTGGAGCTCTGGGCACTGATCAGTGTAAATTTCTTGTTGTTTCCTGTAGCTGTCTTTTCGTCTCCTGATTACCCTGAAATTACTTAGGCCTAGAAAAGACAGAGGGTCCTCAACTGAGCCTTCCAGAACAAAGTTGGATCCAGAAGCCCCTCAAACAGCAAACCCGCTCCTTCAAGGGGAGTGCAAACCTATCCAGAACAAGCAACTGACCAATTTGTCGGACATTGCAAGATCCAAGCTCAACTTGTTTTTCCTCATCCATTTCACCACTGCGTCCAGGCAATGGCCCACGGAATGCACAGGCTCTCCTGATTCAGATGCGATGGAGAAAGAGAGCTGAGTGTCATCAGCATACTGATGGTACATCTCCCCCAAACTTCTATTGCCTACTCCCTGCAGCATCCCATAGCATAGTGCTACTCCCTGGAATCGGTCCTAAAGATAGGATTGGAACCACGGTAATACAGTGCCCCCAATTCCCATTCCTTAGAGACAGTCCAGGACAATGCCATAATCAAGGGCATCAAATGCCTACAAGAGATCACGAAAAAAGAACAAGGTCACATGCCCCTTGTCCCACTTTCTTCGAATTCTGGCATCAGGAGTTGCTGTTGGAACCAAACTCCAGTTGAATATGATGCTGAGGATGGCAGTGGTTTGGGAGTGATATCCAGGGTCAAATTGTATGCAAAGCATTGTACAGCTGATGTTATGTTTCATGTATTTTCTCCCATGTTGGTAGCTGTAGCCCTGTGGGCTGAGGAGTTTAGGAACAAAATGGTGAGATTCTGTTGTGACAACCTGGCAGTGCTTTGCATTATCAACTTACAGCCCTCCCGTTCGCCTTGGTGCATACATTTGTTTTGCACTGCTTGGACTTCAGCATCCTATTCACAGAATAACTGGATAGCTGATGCTGTCTGTCGGTTCCAGAAGAGGTGCTTCTGCAAGCTGGCACTGGGTGTTGTGCACAACATGATGAGGATGCCAAGCAAACCTTGGCAATTGATACCTGATAGTCTGATAGGTCCAATGGCTAAAGCCAATTACCTGTGACCAATAAAGTTGTGGCCATTTGTTGCCCATTAACCTTAAATTCCGGTGTCCTGTGTCTTTATTTTATTCCAACTGGTGGGGGGCGGGAATCGCCACGCAAGCTGGCACTGGGTGTTGTGCACAACCTGATGAGGATGCCGAGCAAACCTTGGCAATTGATACCTCAACTGGACATTTCGTCCACTCTGGCCCCCTGTACCAGGCAGCCATATTTGCCTAATCACCAGGAGTTCAAGGACGTCAGGACCACTTCTATGGCCCATCCACTTTAGGACCAAGAGCAGAACAGACCAGATAAATGTATGCCCATAATACCAGATGCTCTATTGTTGCTGCTGTCCCTGTGTTCTTTCACTTTGGAAGAACAGCTGTTTTCATTGGTTGCCTTTCGTGGGGCTTTGGGCCTACGAGTTACTTTCTATGTCTAGGGCAGGCCTTGTTGTTCCAGAATGTCCAGTTCGCAGATGGGTTGGTACGCATTCTCCTAAGGCAGTCCAAGATGGGCCAGAAGGCTTTGGCTCCAAGGTCATGAACGAGAGTTGCCATGATGTACCTTTATGCCCTGTGACAGCACTTGCAGCCTATCTGGCCACTCGGCCTGTGTGTGGGTCACCTTTTCCTCTCCCAGGATCAATTTGAAGTTTGGACAGTTCTCTGCCCAATTAGCCATAGCTTGTGATCCAGTTCAGTTTGGTTTGCATTCCTTTCGCATAGGTACAGCCACAGCTGCGGCTCTCATGGGCATCCCACCAGATCTGGGACATTGGAAGATGGCAATCTGATGCATTCAAACTTTATATTCACTTTTAAGCAAAGTGCTATATCTAACGTACTCCCCCCCCTTTTTTTTGATGGATCTGGCCAGTTGCCAGGAGCTGTCAGAGTCATACTGAGCGGCCAGTCCATTTCATTCTGGGCTCATCCGTGTGCTACTTCATCCATTGTTTGAACCCAGCTGAGAATCTGCCAGGGCAAATTGTCACTGGGAAATGAAGAGAGGCTTGCTTTCAGAGGATTCCCCCAACTGGATAGAAATGGGTGCCGAAAGATCACCACTGGGTTGCTTACATTACCCATGGTCACATCCATCAAGATCTTCCTCTATCAGTACAATGGGGTTCACCCTTCAGAGGAAGCCTGAAATCTTTTCTTTGCTGGCCTGCAATGAGCTCTATTTGAGCTCTTTTTTTTGTTCTTAGGAGGAGGTGAACTACCTGGCATTGATCTCTTCCAGTGGCTGTTAGTTCAGGCAGGAAACATAATACAAGAGAGAGTGGAGTAAATAATTACGGTGGTATTTAGTGAGGGGCACTCTTTGATCCCCTTACATTGTCTTGTGTTGGGTCATTGGGGATGGCATTTGGGCTTTGCATGCACATTGGGCTGAACACTGACCTGGCTGACATTCACATTGGTTTGTGCTCATCAAGTCATGTGCCCACAATTCTAGGAACAAGGAGGACATATTTCTTCCAGTCCTTTACTCTGAGGGAATGTTGCCTGTAAACATGGTCAAGAAAGTGGAGTAACCTGTTTCCTCCTGCCTAACTGTATATTGATTTGGCTAGTTTAATTTAATTTACAGATCCTTTAGGCTGTTATATAACCTTTTGTCCACAATATTTCATTTCATTTTCACTTCAATACTATGCCCTGAGTCTTCCTTAAGGTGTAGTTTGTGCTGGGAAACACCCTGGGATCTTCGGATGAAGGACAGTATACAAATTTAAGAAAGACAGAAATTAATTGGAAATAATTATTCATCCTACATTCTGTCTTACTTGCAGGGACTTGGTGAGAAAGAACCTCTCCACTAATTTACTGTTTCACCTGTTGCTGCTATTTTATTTACCTGTGGTTTTTTGCCAGATACACTGTTTTGTATTCTACAGCATTGTTTTATATTTAATAGCATTGTTTCATGTCATATTTAGCACATGTTTAATGAAAAAAGCACAATTTTAATTTAAATAATTTACCTGGAAGATTATACAAGGCGTGATGAATTACTGAATGGCACAGTCTTCCTTTCTCTTCATAAGCTTTGCCCACAAAGAAGCAATAGCCGCGAAGCCAAATTGCGTGATGAAAAATAACAATCCCTGGCCCTTTAGGGAGATGTTCCAAGCCAATAACTTCATAACCTGAAAATAATACAAATGGCAACAAATAAATATTATGTTGTTGAAAGGTAAATAAAATATCACAAGAAAATATTGCAAGAAACAGTGTGTTTCGGAAGGGGGAAAATGAAATTAAGATCAGGTACAAAGCTCTGCTATGTGTTCCAGCATTTTGGATGCCAGGAGAGCATCCAAGAGGAACAGGACTTTCTCTGTGGTGGTCGCAAAACTAAAGGGGCAGGAGGGGACTTCTCCTCTCCTGGAATATTCATTCCTTGCTTCCTTTTGGATACAGATGGAAACATTTTTGCCCAGTCTTTGAGTTATTTTGCTCTTTTAATCTACTTTATGTGTGTTTGACCCTTTGAGATGATTTAACATGATATCAAACTAAATGTTTTGGAGACTTTTATTTATTTATTTGAAGGGCAGTATTACCCTTCTGTACCGAGCGCTACTTTGGGAAAGAGCTATCTTAGGCCAGGAGCACATTTCTTCCCCATCCCTAAGAGCTCCAACCAGACATCTTCAGACCATCTTCTGAATCACTGTATACCAAGTAAGAAAGCTGTTTTCCAGACAGATGCACCATTGACCATGTTATAAGTAGCTACAGGGTTTCATCATTGAGGCCCAGGCTTAGTTTTAGTAGTGTATTTCTGATTTATGCTTCAACTCCTAAAGCAACATCAACATACCCTCCAACATTTCTCAAATGAAAATAAGCACATCAAATAATACTAATAATAATAATAATATAACAATAATAATTGTATTCTTTATACCCCACCCATCAGACTGGGTTGCCTCAGCCACTCTGGGTGGCTTACAACGTAAATAAAAACATTAAATGTTAAAAACTTTTGTATACTTGGCTGCCTTCGCTCATGTGTCGCCTAACTCCCTATCCTCTGACATTTCTCTGATGAAAATAGAAACAACCTGAGGAAAAGCAGGGCATTCCAGGATCAAATCAGAAACCCTGCCAGGATGGCATCTGTAAATCCGGGACTCTCCCTGGAGAACAGGAATACTTGGAGAGTTTTTAGCAGTCTTCTGGGAGGATATAAGAAGAATCCTGTTGATGAGGCCAAAGGCCTCTAAAGCCCACTGTCCTGTTTCCCGCAGTGTCCATCTAAAATAGTAGCCATTAACACAACCTGTGCTGGCAAATACCATAGTTTATGTTTCAGAGCTGCCTTGTGGTTTATCATGCTCAGGAAAATTGCACGCTCAAGGTCTCTCTATACAATGTTATATTAATTACATTGGCTGTGTACCCACAACACATTTAAAGACAATCCCTTTCTCTTGCGACAATCCATGAAGCTATTTTTAAAGGGCTTTGCTAATTGCAGCTCTGTGAATTGCAAGCAACATTCTCCAGGTTTCGGGGGGGGGGTTAAATATGATTAAAATGTATGGTGTTTATGTAGCCACCAACTCACCCTTTCTTCTGTAATACGTCTTGATTTTGTACGTACCTCATAAAATATTTTGTTTTTCCTTAGGATAGCTTATTACATATATAAATATCCATGCCTTTATTTTGATCCTTACAAAGCCAACCAAAACTTGTAGCTCTTATGACACTGAGGTGGGTTCAGAGCTACACTCCTGATGCACTGTGGCAACTATTGTTCCAGTGTTTCAAGTCTGAAATTCTGATGCTCAGTCCTATGAAAGTATAGGAGCTGATAAGACTGAATTATTGGTCTGAAAGAAACCTTTACTCACCATGCCATATCTTTCCATATATATCTAAACAGCGATACATAATGTGCCTTGCCTTGTCCCAACATTTGCTATAAATATCATTTTCTTGCTGGTTATTCATCTTCTTGTAGATATATAACAGAAATGAGACAGCACAGCAAAATATATATAAAAATAACCAGAAAGAATAAAGCAAAATGGGAATCATAAATAACCACAGAGGGTGAACCACAGAGTTCAGGTATTCTTCCAAATAAGTAACACTAATCCAGTTTTCCAGCATTTGAGTAATCCAGCTCATTGTTTCCTGATCTGAAGCAAGTGTATGCCAAGAGATGAGAAGAGCTGAAGTGTATGCCAATGAAATAAATATATCAAGTGAAATTCGCCTCAGTTGTGATGGTATCTTTCCCCCCACTGTTTACCTGTAAAACAGAAAATGCAGTACATCAGTTTGAACTGTCAACCCAGAGCATTCATGATTACATGAAATCTAGTTTTCCCCACTGTAACTAGCCAAGCAGTCATATTTTTCCCCCCAGCATTCATCGCTGAGATCTACAAAATTAGTAATGTACGATCATCATGTTCTTTGTTGTAAAGCAAGCTGGTTTCATTTCATGGCTGAAGTGTTAAGGAAAGTGGAAAAGGAGTTACTTTTCCATGAGTCAGCAGAAATGGCAGTTGCAGGACTTTGTTAGCCACTAGACTTTGCACTTGCTGTGTGGAGTTTGTGTCAGCACTTACTTTATAATCTGAAACGCCCTCTTGTCTTCAGAGAGTGAAGACTTCTTCTAACAATTGCAAAGAATGTGTATATATAGTGTGTGTGTTTTTGCCCCTGAAGTAAAAGCTCTCTCTGCTACACGGTTGTTTCCTACATTGAACCTAACCGCTTGACTGAACTTCTGCAGCACGAACACAACACCCAACGAGGAGGGTGGGGAGAATGGTGAGCTGAAGTTTGGAAGCATTTTGGGATACACTGCAAAGTGGGATTGCAGCTCTGCTGCCAGGTAATAGCAGATGCTGAAGGCCAAACCCTGTTATCACTGCCTCTAGACATTCTTTCCACTTCGGTTATTGGGAACCATGCCACAACACCCAGCCATAGCTGTCAAGGTTTCCCTTTTTTAAAGGAAAATTCCCTTATTCCGAATAGGATTCCTCGCAAGAAAAGGGAAAAGCTTGTTGAATCTCCAGCGGTGCCTTATACAAGCTCCACTTTGGGGCAGTGTGAGCTCTGAAGAGTTTGGGCTGTCACAATTTGGATAATGGGCCATGGCACTAGAGGGAGAGATCAGCTCATTGCCACACAGCCTCTAAGACTCTCACCGGAGTGACAAAACTTCCCAAATTAAATCCAAATAAGAAGATAGAATTCAAAGAATTAGTGGGGAATCTTTGGAAAAGAGCCTGGGAGTGAAAAAAGGGAGTCCACTCCGGATCTGGTGAAATCTGGGGAGAAAAATTGGACTGCAAAGAAATGGGTACAATTAAATGGGTACAGTTTAAACAACTCAAATTACAATTGTGGAATGTAAACAATGATACTCCCCTTTTAGTACAGTGGTACCTCGGGTTACATACACTTCAGGTTACATACTCCGCTAACCCAGAAATTGTACCTCGGGTTAAGAACTTTGCTTCAGGATGAGAACAGAAATCGTGTGGCAGCGGCGCAGCAGCAGCAGCAGGCCCCATTAGCTAAATTGCTGCTTCAGGTTAAGAACAGTTTCAGGTTAAGAACAGACCTCCAGAACGAATTAAGTACTTAACCTGAGGTACCACTGTATTTGAAACCCAACCTCCAAATGAAAGAAAACAGTGGATCTAAATGTACTGCCAAAGTATACAAATTAAAACCGATTAAACAAGACAGAAAGAAAGAAATAGCAACCTCGTACTATCAAATAGCGGGAGCTTTCGAAAACTTGGGTGCCAAAGGAAATAAGATTTTAATCACAAACCAGACTTGTGAGTGTGGCCAGGAGGACTGGATAATCGGTTTCCTGTGTCCTGTTCTGTTTCTCCATATGGGAAGATATTTTGCGTGTGGTTGTGTTTTCCAAAGTCGTCCTTGGGCAATGCTGTGCTGATAGAGCGGTTTAGGGATTAACTCGGGAGCTTTGTAGCCCAATAATTGAACTAACAAGACTTAATGGATTCAGATGGTTTCCAGAGAGTGGTAGGGAATGCTTTATCCCATGTTGATGGACTTTCAGCTGATTCTCTGGTGGCCCGCTGGAATGTGGAGTTAACCAGGGCTATTGACTGTTTGGCTCTGAAGTGCCCTCTCCGATTGCATGGAGCCCAGACAGGCCCGTGGTTTTCCACGGATCTGAGGGCAATGAAACAATCATTGAGACAGCTAGAGCACCAGTGGCGGATAACTCATTCTGATGCTGACCGGACACGGGCTAGAGCTCAATGTCGAGCCTACCAAGTGGTGGTAGTGACGGCGAAGAAGACTTTCTTCACTGCCTCTATTGCATCTGCAGAAAACAGCAGCAGGAGACTTTTTCAGGTGGTTCGCAATTTAGCGGAACCACCTGCTACATCGGGGCCCAGTACGGGCCACATGATCTCCTGCAATGATTTTGCAAAGTTTTTTGCAGATAAAGTCACTCAGATTCGGGAAGAGGTAGACTCCACCGTGGGAGCAGGGCTGGGGCGGGAGAGTGCTAGAGTCCTGTCTAGTCAAGTTACGTGGGATCAATTCCAATCTGTTACCTCCGAGGATGTGGACAGGCTGCTTGGAAGAGTGAAACCAACCACCTGTCTCCTTGATCCTTGCCCATCCTGGCTTATAAAAGCTAGTTGGGAAGGGCTGGGCGATGGGCTTCGCAGGGTGGTGATTGCTTTTCTCTGTGAGGGAGCCTTCCCAGACCAGCTGAAAGAGGCGGTTATCAAACCGCTTCTTAAAAAACCATCTTTAGATGCTGCCAATATGGCCAACTATCGCCCAGTCTCAAATCTTCCATTCTTGGGCAAGGTTATTGAGCGAGTGGTTGCTGAACAACTCCAGGCACGCCTGGAAGAAGTGGACCATTTGGATCCCTTCCAGTCGGGATTCAGGCCTCATCATGGGACTGAAACTGCCTTGGTTGCACTGGTCGATGATTTCTGGCGGGCTAGGGACAAAGGTGAGAGCTGTTTCCTAGTTCTACTGGATCTCTCAGCGGCTTTTGACACCATCAACCATAACATCCTTCTGGACCGTCTAAAGGGGCTGGGAGCTGGGGGGCACTGTTATACAGTGGTTTCGCTCCTTCCTCCTGGGCCGTGTTCAGAAAGTGGTGTTGGGGGATGAGTGTTCAGACCCCTGGGCTCTCACTTGTGGGGTGCCTCAGGGTTCTGTCCTCTCCCCCATGCATTTCAACAACTACATGCAGCCACTGGGAGAGATCATCAGGGGGTTTGGGCTGGGTATTCATCAGTATGCGGTTTATACCCAGCTCTACCTCTGGAGGTGGTTGGAGAATGGATGGCAGCTAACAGATTAAGGTTGAATCCTGACAAGACAGAAGTACTGTTTTTGTGGGACAGGAGGCCGGCAGGTGTGGAAGACTCCCTGGTCCTGCATGGGGTAACTGTGCCCCTGAAGGACCAGGTGCGCACACTTGGGAGTCATTCTGGACTCATAGCTGTCCATGGAGGCACAGGTCAATTTGGTGTCCAGGGCAGGCTGAGACCCTACCTGCCCGTAGACTGTCTCGCCAGAGTGGTTCAAACTCTGGTTATCTCTCGCTTAGACTACTGCAATGTGCTCTATATGGGGCTACCTTTGAAGGTAACCTGGAAACTACAATTAATCCAGAATGTGGCAACTAGACTGGTGACTGGGAGCGGCTGCCGAGACCATATAACACCGGTCTTGAAAGACCTGCACTGGCTCCCAGTACGTTTCCGAACACAATACAAAGTGTTGGTGCTGACCTTTAAAGCCCTAAACGGCCTCGGTCTTGTATACCTGAAGGAGCATCTCCACCTCCATCGTTCTGCCCAGACACTGAGGTCCAGCGCCGAGGGCCTTCTGGCGGTTCCCTCACTGCGAGAAGCCAAGTTACAGGGAACCAGGCAGAGGGCCTTCTTGGTAGTGGCGCCCACCCTGTGGAAAACCCTCCCTTCAGATGTGAAGGAAATAAGCATCTACCTTATCTTTAAAAGACATCTGAAGGCAGCCCTGTTCAGGGAAGTTTTTAATATTTAACGCTGTACTGTTATAACACTTGATTGGGAGCCGCCCAGAATGGCTGGGTATTATTATTATTATTATTATTATTATTATTATTATTATTCTAGATATGAGGAGGGGGAGATGGTAAACCTTATTCCCAGATATTTACAAAACTGAGTGGCTAAGGATTTTAGCAGGTCCCGAGTAAATCCAGCCGAGTTGAAATAGAGTATTTAATTGATAACAAATTGCATGCTTAAAAAGATATTGGTTACATGGAGTAGTAGAAAAGCAAACAAACCAGGAAAAGTGTGGAAGGAAGTCATATGGTATATGTATACAGGCTGTATTTGGTATGTAGTTGTAACAGGGGGGGAGGGGGTTAAACATGCTCTCTGTTCCTGTTTTTGAAAATGCAGTTATTATTATTTTAAAAAAAGATCATACATGGTTTTTATGCATGAATGCACAAACACACACAAAGGGAGAGATGCTATCACAGAAACTGACAAATAACACAAGTACTAGCACATTTCCAAAAGTAAGCAGGGATTGTTTGTGGAGATTCCTGCATTGCAAGGGGTTAACTAGACGACCCCTGGGTCCCCTCCGAACTCTACACTTTAGGATTCTAAAAACAAGAGTTTTTACTTACATTCCTGGTAAGCCTAAATTGCCTTTAACTCAGTCACCTCTCTGGAGAAGCACCTGGAATCCTGTCTGCTGCACTTTTTCGATGTCTAATTTCCAGCCGTATTGAAACACGTCTCTTTATGTAGTGGTGTGAAAAAGGCTTAGGGCGCCGGCTGCTTGGAAGTTGTGGCCATTTGTAATCAAACATGAAATATGGAGTCACCTACAATAGCATTCATATGGCACAATAACATATTGGGTCACAGAGTAAAGGAAGGAATTGTGACAAGTGTGTTCTCTCCCTTTCATGGTAGTCTCTCCCTTCCAGTCAGGTACAATATGTATGTTGTGTAATACATAACCTTAACAACATGTTCTGTTGCAATATTGAATCCTAGTGCATAAGTGAAAGCTCTTTCATTGGCACGTGACTCTAATTCTACAGCAAATGAGGATTTCATTAATGCTACTGGGTTTGAATACTGAACCTCAAGTAATCATCCTCAGTAATCAAGTCTACTCCAATAAACTTGACCAATCACTTGTGCTTCAGGCATTTTCTGAGATCTCCAATACCATCTGTTTGATCACTGAAATTAAATCCTGCCATGCTGATTTTACTGCAGGCAGCTGGTTGAAAAGCTTCTTCAGGAGTTGTCCCTGCAGTGTGCATTGCTTGATCTGGAGCAAAAACGTTCCAGGTTGACATGCTTTGACATCAAAGGGTCTCTGGTATTCAGTACATGTTCAGTATTGTCAGGTGGAGGCGAAGGAAGTCCAGCATGCATTTGTCAGTTGTCAGAGCAATGTTTGCATACACATATGATGGTCTGTTTTACTCTCTTTTCGAGAAGAGGCATTCCTTGTAACAGAGAAGTAGTATTTTTCCTGCATTAAGCATGTTTTTCAACAGGGGAGAAACAATGTGATGCAGTCACGGACACATCAAAAAGAAATAACCATGCGAAAAGGCAAACAGAACCAAAAAACAAAAAACCCCACACGTTTCTGATCTTCCCTAATGGATTTCTGCCTTCCCACTCCCTTGCAGAGACGTGAACAAGGCATCTTCTGTCTCTTGTGTTGGGCCTATCTGGTGCACTTTTTTGTAGACTAATTTCCAGCTGTATTGAGAAACATCTCTTTACATGGTGGTTTCAAGAAACTGTGATAGGTGTGCCATCTGTATGAAGAGACCAAGCACTGTGAAAAAGAGAGGCGGCTTGGTGAGCCAGTGGCTTGGAAGTTGTGGTCATCTGTAATCAAACATGAAATATGGAGTCACACCTACAATAGCATTCCTATGGCACAATAATATATTGGGACACAGAGTAAAGATAGAAATTGTGACAAGTGCGTTTGTTCCCTTTGATGGTAGCTTCTCTCCAAGCCAGGTAAAATATGTATGTTGTGTAATACATAACCTTCATAACATGTTCTGTTACAATATTGAATCCTAGTGCATAAGTAAAAGCTCTTCCATTGGCACTTGTCTCTTTAATTCTACAGCAAATGAGGATTTCATTAACACCTTCTGGGTTTGAATACCAAATCTTAAGTAATCATCCTCAGAAATCAAGTCTACTCCAATAAACTTGACCAGTCACTTGTTCTCCAGGCATTTTCTGAGATCTCCAATACCATCTTTTTGATCACTGAAATTAAATTCTGCCATGCCGATTTTACTGCAGGCAGCTGGTTGTTTGATCAGGAGCAAAAAAGTTCCAGGTTGACATGCTTTGACATCAAAGGATCACAGAGACATTAAAAACAAATATCCATGGGAAGTAAAAGGCAAATAGAACCAAAAACAAAAAAAACCCATAGGTTTCTGATCTTCCCTAGTCACTTCATGAATCACTTGAAGAAGAGTTAAAACCAATTAAAACTCATTAAAACCGCTTCAAATCTACTAAAAGGCAGATAAAAACCACAGGCCTTCGAGAGAGATGTTGCCTTGCAAGCTGCTGAGTCCCTTCCAGGCACTGTCCTACTTCATCACCTGACACTCCTGAGAATATGAGAGAGCCCTGTTTGCTTCAGTGTTGAGGATGACACTTAAGAGCCAACCTGTCAAGTGCCTACCTTAATTCCCAATTCTATATCAAGACTTTGACAGAAGTGGTGAGCATGCCAACTTGAAAATTCCTGAGAGTATTCAGGAATCCATCAGATACCATAAGTCTCTGGGAACTGACCGCCTTAATGGATCCCCCAGCCTAATAGGGGGGCACTGCATCATCACTTCAAATTTCACCATTGTATTATCCATCTCAGACAATGGGCTCAGCACAAACCTCCCTACCAATGAATTTCTGTCTTCCCACTCCCTTGGAAAGACCTGAACTAGGGTATGTTCTGTCACTTCTGTTGGGCCTTTAATTTACTGAGTCTCATGGTTGCCACACAGGCCGTGAAGTCTGAGCTGACCCAGGACCTACAGGTTACCTCCCTCCCTTTAGACAGTGAATTCTCAAACTTATTGTGAAAGTGAGCTGAAAGGAAGAGATTCCTTGCCAGTGATGGGAGATTGAGGATTGGAGTGATTGTTCTGTGATATTATGGCAGTGTACAATGTTGTAGTGTAATTTTTAATTGTGTTTGAAATGTATTGTTGTAATTTGTTTTAATATTAAATAAATGTGCAAAAAATGAATAAATCCCTCTTCACAGGGATCTCTGGAAGGGGAGCTCTGTGGGGAAAATAGGGGGTCTCCTAACAACTCTCAGCACCCTTATACCACAGCGCCCAGAATTCTCTGGAAGAAGCAATGGCAGCTTAAAGTAATATTGTATTGTTGGAAAAATATGGGCTATATTTAATAAGGCATCCTGGCTTATGAAAGCTAGCCGGGATGGGATGAATGAATGCTCCAGAGGTAAGGTAAATGGGTCTTTGCATTATGTAGTGCTGGATGCTGCCCTTAAAGAAGCAGCAGTGTGTTGACTCCTCAAGAAGCCCTCTCTAGACCTAACAGAGAGCAACAACTATAGACTATAGTAGGTGGAGAGGGTGGTTGTGGAGCAGCTGCAGGTGTTTCTGGGTGAAACTGGTAATCTAGATCCATTAAAATCTAGGTTCAGACCTAAATTTAGAACTGAATCAGCTTTGGTCCCCTTGATGGATTACCTTTATCATAAAATAGACAAACTGTAGGGCCAGGTTTCAAGAAATATAGTCTGCACTACTGTAATGTGTTCTATGTGGAGCTGCCCTCGGGCCTTATCAGGAAGCTCCAGGGGGCATAGAATGGGGTGGCTTAGATTGCTGATGGAGGCATCTGACCAAGATTATGTGACACCATGGGTAATTTGACCCTTGCTGAGAGGAGCATTGTTTCCCCTTACATAAATATTTCCTTACAAGCGTCCTTGGTCGGTTGAGGCCCTAAGGTCGGTAGCGCGCTTGTAGGCCTTCAGGCCAGTAAATATGGTGAATATTTTGCATCTTGTGCGAGAACACTGGGCCTTAAGTTTGGTCCCCATAGGATTTGTGTTGGGATGTTACTTTGACAGGAGGAATGATGAGAAAATGGCACTCTTCAGAAACAAAAGCAAGTTATTTCAAAGGGAATTGAAACCTGGAGAAGAAGTCACATGGAGATAATGTATTAAATGAGAAATGCTTCCAGATAATTAAACTTGTATCTCTATTTAAAATAAATAAATAAATAAATAAATAAATATTTCCTTACATCTTTAAAGAAACAAGAAAGGAAAATATTGGGTCACAGAGTAAAGGAAGGAATTGTGACAAGTGTCACAATTTTCGAGAGGAGAGGTATTCCTTGTAACAGAGAAGTAGTATTTTCCTGCATTAAGCGGGATTTGTCAACAGGGGAGAAATAATGTGATGCAGTCATGGACACATTAAAAATAAATATCCATGTGAAAAGGCAAACAGAACCAAAAAACAAGAAACCCCACACGTTTCTGATCTTCCCTAATGGATTTCTGCCTTCCCACTCCCTTGCAGAGACATGAACAAGGCATGTTCTGTCTCTTGTGTTGGGCCTGTCTGGTGTACTTTTTCGTTGGCTAAATTCGAGCTGTATTAAGAAACATCTCTTTACATGGTGGTTTCAAGAAACTGTGATAGGTGTGCCATCTGTATGAAGAGACCAAGCACTGTGAAAAATAGAGGCGGCTTGGTGAGCCAGTGGCTTGGAAGTTGTGGTCATCTGTAATCAAACATGAAATATGGAGTCACACCTACAATAGCATTCCTATGGCACAATAATATATTGGGACACAGAGTAAAGATAGAAATTGTGACAAGTGCGTTTGTTCCCTTTGATGGTAGCTTCTCTCCAAGCCAGGTAAAATATGTATGTTGTGTAATACATACGGGGGAGAAATAATGTGATGCAGTCACGAACACATTAAAAACAAATATCTATGAGAAAAGGTAAACAGAACCAAAAAACACAGCTTCTGCCAACCTAGCACTTTGAAAGCATACCAGCGCAAGTAGATAAATAGGTACCACTGTGGTGGGAAGGTAAATGGCATTTCCATGTGCTCTGGTTCTGTCACGGTGTTCCAATGCAGAAAAGTGATTTAATCTTGCTGGCCACATGACCCGGAAAGTTGTATGTGGACAAATGCCAGCTCCCTTGGCCTGAAAAGCTAGATGAGAGCCACAACCCCATAGTCGCCTTCGACTGGACTTAACTGCCCAGGGATCATTACCTTCTTTTCTTTTTTACAACCCTCAAAATACCACAAATTGCAAAAGGAGCCAAATAAATTCTCTACGCTAAGTTGTCCACACATTTATAAAGATACAGGTATTGACAAACTACCCCCTCTAAGTAAAAGAGTTTTAGTTTTCACTTTTGCTAGAATGAAACTGCAGTCACATTTCTTCCAGACTGCTTTTCCACTTGATTCCGTCTGTGTTTTAAAATAATTTGTCGTTTGTAGACAGCATTCATTCCATCTTCAGCTAGATCTCCCATCTTGGCTTCATTTGCTTTACAATCTTAGGGTTTTTTAAAATGTGCCAAACATATCATTGTGGCGACCATAACATAGGTTTAAGGTGCCATTTGACTCTGATCTGAGCTTTTATATCTACATTTCTGATCTTGTCCACTGAATTGCTGTGGTGGCAGCCACCATTTGAGCATGTATGATGTCCGTTAATCTCTCTTCTCCAATGAAAAACTCAAGGAGGACACAGCCAACAGTATACAATAGGTTTAAAAACAAACCAAAAAGCCCGTCTTAGTGGCACACTTGGATTGTTGGAAATATCCAGACAGATCAGGCTGGATTATGTTTTACCACTCAAGAGCAGCAGTGGTAGAGGTGAATCCTATGTATTTTAATCTGATTTTTCTGTACATTTCCCCCAAGATTCTTTCACTTACCAGTTTCTAACTGATTTGACAATTCTTCTCAGTTACATAGAGAATGAAATATATGGTTGTAACAGAGGATGTCTTTCACTTAACTATATAGCCCCCCCCCCTGCAATTCTGTAGCTACTAAAAGGGACGCGGGTGGCACTGTGGTCTAAACCACTGAGCCTAGGGATTGCCGATCAGAAGGTCGGTGGTTCGAATCCCTGCAATCGGGTGAGCTCCTGTTGCTCGGTCCCAGCTCCTGCCAACCTAGCAGAGCGAAAGCACGTCAAAGTGCAAGTAGATAAATAGGTACCGCTCTGGC